TTCCTTTACAAGAGCCCAAGTGACGTGACGTACCAAAGAGAGAGCGTTTTCGTTTGAGTTTGGGGAATTATCCTTGAAATGTGTGTTGTCTAGTAAATAGATTTGGGTCTGTATTTTAATCAGAACCAAATGGGTGGGGACCGCCAACCAGTTAACCAATGGGTTTGGGTGAGGTGTTGGTCTATTTTTCCTTCTTCCAGGTAAAATGAGTGTCATAGCTTCTACAAGGTTCTACATGTTGCCACACCTGCCAAGACACGGTGGTCGTGGACGTGAACTGGTCGCCATTCACCAAAGCGTCCAACTTCCGCATCTGATCTGGAACCCACTCCTGCACACGTCATCAAATGTCCAACGGGCGCTGGTCCAATCTTCCCTGGGTCTGGGTCAATCATGGTCATTCTAATTCTAGAGAATCTCCATGTGGAGCTCTGCAAATGAACAGCATGGACGATCGGAACATTGCATTTCTGCAGTACCATGGTTTGTAAATTCAAGGCCTTGATCCACGCCCATCATGAGAATTCTTGACCCACATCAGGTGTTCATAGCCTCCATGTTCAACTCATCCTGCTCACTGCTTCGGCCTTCCACCCCCACACCTCCTCAGTGTCTCGCCCTCGACCGGCCGCCTCCCAGAACTTCGTGAAGGCCTCACGGTCGCCCTTGCGCGTCATGCCGTCGCGGCCCAAGTCCCCCAGCTTCACCTCACTCGGAGGAGTCGGGATTCGTGCGCCAGGCGCTGGGGAAGGAACAAGAAGCGACCGCGGAAGGCCTCAGAGACCGTGGAAAGGGGGGATGGACCCAGCTTTTGATGCCATGAGTTCTTTTGGGAGTCTGTTTGCCCACATTCCTGGTCCCAAACCGCCGATCCTGCAACGAATCTTCGCACGAATCCCCTTGAGCCCTGTTAACTTATTTATTTTTCACACCCTCTCTTCCGCCAATCTTCCGCCCGAGGGGCCGACACGGTGGGCTGAAACTTCTGCATGGCGGCATAGAGGTCCTGGAACGTCCACGTAGGACGGAAGATCTGGTGGATTGTTCGATATTTTGTAGGCCAGCTAGTGGATGTTGAACTTCGATATTGAGAGGGTGCAGATCCGCCTGGCAAGCTCAACTCGTAGTGGCAAGTGAGACTTGTTGAACCATGTTGAACTGTTCATCGCTGAGGAGAGACCTACCAACTCCCAACTCCAGCAAAGCTTCAAAGGCTGCACACCCCACGAACACAAACAGTTCCGCAAAACCCAGTGACGCAAAGAAGTCACTCCAGTGCAGTGGAACCAATCGCAGGGGCTCCGCTGACGGATGTTCCGAAGTCTTCCACCCAAGCTTGCCTCCCCTTCGCTCGGTTCGGGACGACCGGTGCCTCCCCTTCGGCCAGCAAGGACTGCGACATGGCAAACTCCTCTGGTGTGGCACCTGCCAGCTTAGCAGAACATCAAGGGACACAAAAATGTAGGAAAACTGCTACCATCTGGTACCCGAAGCTAGGAAGTCAAGAATGGGTGCTGGGACCTGTTCCACTGTTGGAGGCTTCTTGGCCCATCCAGAGTCCAGAAACCGATTCAGTACCAACGTCCCACCTGGTCACATCCGGTGTTGGCGAACCAGGTGGGGCATGGCAACTGGAGGGCTGACCCCAAGAGTTCTGCCCTGCACCACTCGGGCGCCAACAGGGCACACGTTGTTTTCTCCCACGCAGGCGCGCCTTCCATGCCCGAAAGCCGGGCCATGTAATTCCTTCGGTTTTGAAGGGGCTGGGGGCCGGATGACGGACCGGAATGCCGAGCCACATGGCGTTTGGAAGAAATGTGGCACCTCTATCCTTACTGAGACAGTGAGCTGAACTTCGTTGAACAAGCACCAATTGATTTCGACTGTTGATGAATAAAACTCGTGCTACCTATCAAACAAGGTCAAACAAAACATAACAAAACTATATAGGATCATATTGGATCACATAATATATGTTTGCATAATAGGTTGATACTCCTCAACCACCAACGTTCCTTCTGACACTCCCGGGCCGTCCAATGGTGATGCGTCGATTCCGCTTGGAACAGCGTGGGAGGCAAGCCGAAAGAACCGTAAAAGCCCTTGAAATGGGCCAATGGAAGAACAAGGGGCATCGCTACGAACCCAGCGATCGGTCGCTACGATCGGGGCTCCCTGGCCTTACTACTAGGAGAAAGGTTCGCTACGAACGGAACAAATGGCATCGCTACTGTTTCAAAGCTGTCGCGTTGAGCAGGTCATTTCGCTCGGCGACCCCCCGGGCTCACCGCAATGTACGACCGGGACATGCAGCCATAGACCGCTGCAAGCTCAAAGACATGAATGCCCACACCCAAAGTTAAGGCTTGAGGGTGCCCCAAACCAGATGTGGTCAGCCCAAAGCCGGATTTGCACCATTTCGAGTTGCATTTGACATTGTACCCTCATGCCAACAAACACTTCAAGCAAATGTCCCTCATAAATCTTCTTAAATCCAAGCAGCACAATGGCAAGGCACTGGGAGACGCGAACCGAGCCGTTTTCCAGCAAAGGCAGTTGCCCAAAGTGACATTTGCCGCTCTCCTGACAGCTTGTGTCCGTAGTTTTCGGCAGGTTTGCCCAGGCCATTTTCCACGACTTATAAAGCACATAATTATACATAATTTAGTAATACTGCTGGAAATGCAACAGTAAGTGGAAATGTCTTTCATGACCTCCACCTTCACTTCGGCCACTTCGGTCTCCTTCAGCTTGGGCCAATCATCTCGAGTGAAGCCCAAATCCTTTGGCCCAACCCAGGGGAGCCCCGAGAATTCAGCCACCAGCGCAGGGCCTAGGCCCTTGGCCATCAATGGGAAGTAGTAGAGCCTCGGCTGCCCAGTGGCCCAGCCAGTGGTTTTGGGGGTTGGGTGGTTTTCACTGGAGAATCCCCCAAATGGTCAGTGCTAGAGTCCTGCCCCCAAAACAGTGCCTAACAAGAAACGAGTCCTGCCATGTCCTGCCCGTCCAGGGTAATTTTTGAATGGAAGAACTCATCTGAGATTACCTTTCGTCGCTTTCGGATTGTTTTTTTGGTTTTCGTGTCCTGGTGCCAGGCAAGCGGTTCGGGTCCTGTCGCGGGCGACTCTTAACCCACAGGCCGTGCGACTCTTGGTCACCCTCAAAGCCAATGAAAACACGGGTTTCCTCTATTGAAGCCAGCGGCTGGTTGTTGCGCTGCGCAGGTATGTGTATAATACAGTGTGTTATGTTACAGTAAATATGTAGTTATATATATATTATATATACCAGGATCATCCAATGGCTGTCCAATAGACTACCCTACCCTACTTACAGGTCTCCATTGGGCACCCGTTGGAAGTGCTAGGTATATATATTGCGCGTGTCTGTGTGTGTGTGTAAGTGTTTGCGTGTGCTTTTGTTGTTGTGCGCAGCTAACAGTTGAAGCAAGCGTTGACAGAAGAATCAATTGCACAGGGTAGGACTATGATGATCACTTCACATAAGATCGGCGAAAGCTCCGCTGGCTGCAGCCGTCTGGCTTCATTGGCTCTGACATGGCCGCAGCTGGCCTGCGTCGACTGACGGTCCGCGCGGCACAGCCAACTGACCTAGTGAACAGTCTGCCTCATGCAAAGAGAAGATGGAGTAATCCAAACAAAAACCGGCAAAAACGGTATCCCAATCACAAAACAAACTCCGACACACAACGGGTCCACTGAAACAAGTACACATCCAAAGGATGAGCCTCTCCTGGATCCCTGCCTCTTCATGGGTTTGCTCAAGGGGTCCCAGACCTGAGCTGTCCCAGTTCGACCCTTAAAAGAATAGACGTGACTAAACCACACTAAACGATGGAGGGTTTCCTGTTCCTCCTGCTTCAGTCCACTAATTACACACACATGATTGAATCAGGAGCAAATCCATTGTATCAAATTTCCCCATTCTCGGTGCTTTGAGAGGAGGCGCATGAGTGTATTCTAGTATCGCCCCCTCATTTCAACACAGCTCCCCACATCACAGCTGTAACATGAACAGCCATTCCGATACACTGCCCCGCCACATGTCACATGTCACAGCGGAATAGCTCATTTTATCAATGTTGTAGTTTAGTCACGCTATGCAACTATTTCATCGGGTGCGGTCATGTCCACCCCGCCTGGCACAAAAATGGGCCGAGCGTTCACGTTCCGCCGGTTCAACACCTGCCCCCTTTGAGCCCAATAGGCGCAGCGGTTTGCCTGTGGCCGCCTGTCGTTTGAAGAGATGACATGATGAAGAGATGAATCCCAAAGACTCCATGGTAATATACATTGACTGCCATGACCTTTACAACGACCTCAATCAATGTAAATGAATATGCCAAAACATTGGCGTGTCACATGTAAATGAGATTTAGATTTGGAGACGAGCATCAAAATTAAAAGAAGGGTTGCTTTTGGATTCTTTGTTGGTTTCATGGTTCTTGATGCGACCAGGTGAGCAAACTCCTCTTTCGGTCCTCACCCCCCCAAAAAAAATACCTTACGTATACCATCATATACCATTATATACTGCTGAACTGTTGGAAGTGGTGTAGATGCCGCATCTGCGGGCAGTTGTTTCAGCTACTTCAAGGAGATCTCCGTACGCCGTAGGATTTTGAAGAGTCCTGCTGAGAGTTGCGCCATCCAGTTTTATGTCTGCGTGTTTTTTTTCACAAGAAAGATCTTGATATAGTCCCTGAATGTATCATGGAAGTGGATGGCATGACCCCCAAAAGGATGAACATTAAATGCACCGTGTCATCCACGTAACCATGTGGATTCTGAGGTTCTGAACCACAGGAGGCATGGCCGCTCCTGACCCTTCATGGCTGTCTGTGTTTGAAAGATGTTATATAAAAGCGCAGTGTTTTGTTGTAGGTCATGCTTCATCGGAGATTCAAAATCATGAAGCTTCATGGATGGTTCATCCTTCCAAATACTCCACCAATCTCTATACCAATGTGTTGTTCCTCTTCCCAAAAAAGCTGACGCGGCCGCAACCCAGCGTTCCGATTCTACGTAAGCGCAATCTTTTCCTCATATGTGAGGACCCGCCGACCACCTCACCACAGGACGGCGAAGAGCGAGGCGAGGCCTTGGACCCAGGGCCCCGTGAGGATGTGAAGGATTTGGGGTCATCTTGGTGCGATCCTGGGGATCTCTCGGAAATTCGACCGCACGGTTGTGAAACACACGGCCTTCTCATCGTCATGTCTGTGAGCAACTTGGCAGCACATCGGATGCACTACGTCGCAAAGTGAGCTTCCCCGAGAAACGAACACATCAGCGGTGGGTATGCTTCGCTAAAGAAGCCAGGATGCAAAGGACCAGTGAGAACTTCCAGTTCCCGAACATCCGCGGCCACTCCGTTTGCGGCACCGGCCCACAGGGCGTGAGCCGAGGGCCGCGACCCAACATCCGATCCTGAAGACGCGATCAGCAGAAGTGGAGCATGAAACAAGAGATCTTCAAGCGCACATTCTTGTTTTTATAAAATGAACATGTTCAATGATGTCATCTGAAACGACACGATGCGCATGTCCCAAGTCGACACGATGCGCAAGTTTTCCCGTTGTTCGTCCATGTCTCGATGGCGTTGGCCAAGTAGTAGGCCACCACGAGGAGCTGTTCCAGTTCCCCTCCGCGGATGGGGCGTTGCCATTCGGATCCAGCGAACTCCTGGACGGTGCATGGACCGCAGTGCTGCTGGAGGGAAAGGGGGGAAGAAAGACTGGGAGAGAGTGGTTTTCGGGTCGGGCCCAAGAAAGATCTTTTTTGGGTGTGTGTGTGTGTGCTCTATATATATATACAGTATATATATATATATATTATATAGAGATATCGCCGTAGAACCCATTTGACCTGCTTTTTGATAGGAAAAGTCGGGGAAATGTGGTCCTTTTCTCACTCTTTGAGGGTTTGGGTTTCTGAACTTGTTACCAAGACAGGATCTTGCAGGCCAAAAGGGAATGCAGGCCAAAGGGTTCACATTCCACAAGACTAGCTGGCTCTTCACAGGTTTTGTGACCACACAGTCTTGAGTTCATCTGCGAATCTTCTGGCTCATTGAGATGGTCACGGCACACCGGTTCCATATGCCTGAAAAGCACACAAGGACGTGTGGTCCATTGGGAGCCTAACTAAGGTCGCACGATCCGTGTGATCATCATCTGGGGCTGCCTGTCCGATAAAAAGAAAGAACTCCCAGGACCTCAGCACTAGATGAAAGAACAATGGCTTTATTATTCTTGATTGACGACTGATTGGAAAAGCCGCAGGGCGCTGGGTTTTCATCCTTTCGCCGTGGTTTTGTTGGTCTGGTGACTGCTCTCTTGAACGACCCTCCGCGTCGGAGGCTCCAGTGCTGGCATTGCACTTGGCGCGCTGGGCGTCTGCATTGGGCGGCTGGCTGCATCTGGTGCGGTCCATTGGCCAAATTCCTTCAAGACCATCTCCTGGTTGAGCGATCAACCACCACCGTGGGGCTAGGCCCCGGTGGGTCTTTAAGGACCCAACGGCACTGACCTCTTGAGACCATCAGTGCTGAGGAACAGTCGAGTGCGGATGCTCGACTTGTTGGTCTTGGATGATCTTTGACCTCTCAATTAAGCACTATGCCTATTACAGTAAGCCCACTTCTCTGGGACCGATCTTCCATGTTTGGATGTTGCAGCATGTCTTGAAACTCGGCCACGAACATCTGCTATTGGCAAGCTTCAAAAAGGAAACAAAAGAAAAAGGACTCTCAATAAGCTCTCTCCCATATGCCCAAATACCATGAGTCATACCCTACCATGTCACCCTCCTGCCGTCTCACTGCCTCACCGTTGTTCCGTCTCACCGTTGTTCCTCCCATGTGACTTGGAGAGTCGGTGAGTTTGGTAGACGTCTCCCAAAGACTCACATGGGACTGGTTGATTGGCCGACACATGGGGTGGCAGGCTGTAGGGGTCGAAATTGCTGTTCCAATCTATGGAGTGTCTGCATATTGTAAAGGGATCTAAACGGTACTGGATTCTGAAGGCCCTTTGGATTGGAACACCGGGAGCGAATCGAACACCACGTGCAGCTCAGACTCGGCGAAAGGCTTGTGCTTGTTGGTTTCCTGGCAGATCTGAGCAATGTGGATTCAAATCTCCAGCTTTGTTCCAAAATAAAAGTAACCTTTTTCTACCTGTTTGTTGTTGTGGTGAATCCAATCCCCAAAAAACATTAAAGCGGTTTTAAAGGTCATCCGCTTTTCCTGGGTACTCCCCCTCACACTGGAATCTTCTTCGGAGGATCCATTGGAGAACCAAGCGTCCCGATGCATTGGTGAACATTGTGGCAATGGCCAGAATGTTAACTAGTGACTCATGAAACTCCCCTAGCTGGAAAGTAATTCACATCTCTGGCATATATATATATATATACGTATACACACCATGCAGTTCAAACGAGTGCCCAATTAGTTTCAATGGACTCTTCCCGGCAACATGTTCCGATCAATGGAAAGTTTCTGGTTTCCTTAGCAACATGTTCCGCTATTAAAGCTTGGGTACAATGATTGCCTATTTTCCACCTTCACCATTGCAGACAGGGGGTTCACATGGTTTGACACATCACGCGAGGATCATCCGTACAAATGGTGATGACCCCCCACATCCGCTTCAAAGCTGCCCAACATCTAGAATCGCCAGTTCCAATCAGAGACTCGGCGTGGACTCCACAGCTTGTCGAGCCCTAGAAATCTAGGGAAATATGGTCAAAAAGAACGAAAGCGGAACATTCTTAAAGCCCACATCAATTCATCAATCCCCTCCACCTCTGCCTTAATTACACCATTTCTCACAGTTTCTCGGGCTGCTCAGCAATTCTTAGGCGTCTTACGACCGAAGCAACCGGCACTACCACCCCACCCCACCCTCCGCGGGTCTCCACACCGTCTCGCAGTCTCGGAGGCCTCGAGCGCTGGGAAGGCCTGCTGTGCCCAGGGCTGGGCGTGTTGCAGCTGCCGAGACACCGCTGCCAGCAGTGGTTGCAGCTCAGTCACTGATGCCGCACCCAGCAAAGCGGCCCAGGTCAGGGCGACGGCTGAGAGCAGCTGGGGAGGAGGGAGCCTATGGGCTCAAGCCACGAAAGCGGAGAATGAGTGTTTCAAAGATCCATGTTTTTTTTCTCAATCGGAGTTCCCAAGCAATGAATTACGACATAGATTCTATACCAAGAACAAGTGATAAACTTCTTTTCGGTTTGGTATGTGTGGAATGGTTTTCTTCGCAATTCTTCTTGCCTTCAAGCAGCGACTCCTCAAAAATAGGCCTCATAGGGAGCTCTAGCAAGAGGCCATGTTCCTGCAACCTTGGACAGAGCGACGGGAACAGCGACTAGAACACCCCGACCTATGTGACCTACGGAAGTTTATGGAAGATCGACTTATATAAGTTCAATATAGTATTTCTTGTGAACTTGCTGTTTTAAAGGCTTTTCCATGAGGCCTCCACTCGCATCTTCTTGAGCCTGTTCCACTTGGAACTTCACATCCATCCGTTTGGACTCACGGCCATGGTATCTATCCACATGTTGACCCCCAAAGGGAGGCATGTGGCTCCCCAAATTCTTAAGAAATCGGACTTCGAGGGCGAATCATGCAACTCTGCTATCTTGAGGAAGCAGCGAACCCGTGACACCCTTTGTTACGTTCGTAGCTTCTTGTTCCTGGTGCCGATGGCCTCCACCCTAATAGCGCTGGCCTCCACCTAGTAGCTTCTAGCTACTAGTAGCTTCTTGTTCCAACCTACTTGCGATGGCCTCCACCTAATAGCGTCCTGGCTACTATAGTTGCTAGTGTTCAATCAGAGGAAACCACAACCCTTCAACCCACAAGACCTACGCGTCTCTACGGCACCTAGAGTGGTACCATTGGGTGGGAAAAGGATGGACTGCTGGGTGGACGTCTCCTAGGCCCACCTCCATACATCTCGCGCTCGTCTGGGCTACCTGGAACATAGCCTGAAAACAGATTTTAAAAACAACAACCTTCAACACTTTTAAACATCCAACATCCAAGATCCGGTCCAAAATCCAAGCACAAACTCCTGAAACGCCATACAGGTCATCCGCGTAGCCAAAGGCCCAGCTGGGGCTGACCTTCCCGCAGAACCTGCAAGAGCTGCGGGTCACTGAAACAAAGCCTCAGTCCAATGGCAGGTGGAAACATGCCTGGCCTAGCAGCTGAGGTGGCTCCATCAAGACGGACATGGCACAAGACATGACCAGACACATCATCAGAATCTATCGCTTGAATAGGCGCTACTGTATGTGCCACTGGGTCTACGGCGACAACAGTCGGCGAAAGTAAGTCGGGAGAAGGAAAGACGAAACCACAAGTCTGTGGAGCCTGAATCTCTCCTGAATGTGTTGACCGATGTTGGTCAAATTGTTCGTTGTTAATTCTCGACACGAATCAGAAAGGGAGAGAAACACATCACTTCCTATCTGCTACTTCTCTTCCCACCCCCAGTTTCAATGAAGCCTTGAGGATGGGCATCTTCCACCCATTCTGCGCACTCTAAAAGATCAAACAGGGTCCCAAAGCCCCATTCAAATCAAAGCCCCAGATTTAGTGCATCTGTATAAGATCAACTAACTAAAGCTAGCGACCTAGCCTGCATATGCCTAGAACATCCTAGAAGCTGAGAGACCCCGGTGCTTCGACCGTTTGAGCCCAATCATGGTCTGTTCCTATCAAAACAAAGGTCAAACGGGTTCTATATTTTTCATGTATATAGTAACAAGTGCATCGCTTCTAGTAACAAGTGCCTTACTACTAGTAACAAGAACGCTACTAGTAACAAGTGCTTCTAGAAACAAGTCCCTTGTCTCGATGAGAATGTTCTCAGAAAAAATGTTACTAGAAGCGATGCACTTGTTTCTACTAGCTTCTTGTTACTACTAGTAAGGCGCCTCTTACTACTAGCGTGGCACTTGTTCCTAGTAGCTTCCTATAGTTAGATCGTCTTAGATCATGATAGGATCTCTAGTTGGGTCCTCCGCTGTCAACTTCATCTCACTGCCCTGGTGGAAAAGGGTCTGTAGATGTTTGTCGTTTGGGCGCCCAGCCGTTTTGGGGATGGCGGGCTGTTAGGGTACCTGGTGGGTTTTTTCACCACAAGTGCTGGGCCTCCTGTCAGTTCTGAAGTGAATCGACATGAATCAACTACTATCAGACCATTCTCCGCGATGAGCGAGTTCCGAGTCCAACAAGCACTGGCAGGTCAGCAACAGCGTCTGTGCCAAGGTCTTCAATGCCTGGATGGCATTGCGCTGACCTGGGCGCATCAAAGATCATCCAATGCCCAGGTCTTGGAACGAGCTGCATTCTGGGATCTCACCAAGCAAAGATGCGACTCTTGGTACACTCTCCGTCCTTCTCCGGGTTTCTGAAATTTCTGGGCGCCCCCCACGCAACAGCTGCTGTGCCGTGGGCGCGGGCGCATTGCCCCAGTTGCCCCCTGCTGCCCGGGCGGTCGTGTCGCGGGCACGCGCCAGCCAAGCGCCCCGATCGCCGGCTGCAAAGCGGCAAAGCTCTAAGCAAAGCTCGGAATGGAGAGGGGTGGTGAGGATGGCCTCCAGGAGGAAGTAGGCACCTCACATGGGCGGTCATGAGTTGCTTGGAAAATGGCACCGCCTGGTACAGGTAGGCTGTCGGAAGCAGTGTTGGAACGGACTATGTTATTGCTGCGTTTGGGTCAGTGGTGGTTCCTGCCATGTCCTTCAGCAGCTTCATCCAGCTTCAAACCACCTTCACCTCTCAAGCTCCCAACCTGCGGCTGAAACGAAGCAACCATCCTCAAACCGTGCACTGCGAACCTCCTCCCGTCACACGCATAGTCCCAGCACTCATCCCACCACTCCCGTCCCGCCTTGGAAGCCGCCGACATAGCTCCTCCAGCTCATGGCATCACCCTCCCCGGGCACCAGCGCCGTGGACGCCTGCGCCGTGGACGCCAGCGTCACCGCCGCCGAGGTCAGCCCCGCGGCGGCGGCGAGGCGCGTGGACGCGTGCACCGCGAGGTTGGTGTCCTCCTCGAGGAAGCGCTTGGGCACCTATGGCCCGTAGCAGCGTGGCACTGCCGGCGGGCTCTGCCGGTCAAGAGGTGCGTCATTCAATTACCCCAAGGAATTCACTTTTCGGTGCGACCGGACACCGAGTGAGATGGGCGTTGAAATTTGGGATAATTGAGGAATGAAACTCAAAACCTTCTGCATGTCCGGGCACATGAATGGAAGACTTTACTTTCACCAGTTTCACCTAGTATGGGCCTGGGCGAAATGGATTCTGGAAGATGAGAAGTCCAGCAAATTGACCACCTGAATCTATCACAGCACATGAGAGAGGAGGCTGAAGGCCCACAGAATACAAAGGAAAAAAAATAAATATGGATACTAATGGCATCTAATGGCAAAGAACACTGACGGTGTTCGTGCCGTTCTGTCTATTTCTGTCAGCTTCCTGTTGCGGGTTCTGCGCCGAAAAGGCACCCAGGTCCCCATATGGATGCCCACCGATTGTTGGAGTTTCTCCCTCCGGCTTCCCCGCAGCTGGCATGGTGGCGCTATGTGGCGCTTAGGCGTCATTCTGACCAAGAATAGGATCAAAGCCATTGATTTTCAACACCCACGACTTCACACCCCAAGAGTCTACCTTGCGTCAAATGGTCGTCCAAGAATTGGATCTTCTGTGCTTCCTACAGGCTAAAGGCATCGACCAGATCATTTTCCCAAAATTACGGATGTGTCTTTCGGTGCATGTTTTTTGCCGATCCCTTCGATCCTGTCAGCTGTCGTCGTGTGTTCGGTCCGATCCCCTCGCACCGACGGGACCCACACCGCCTGTGGCACCGGCGGCTCGCCCGACACCTCCGGCTCCAGGCCCAGAAGGGCCACATCCACAGGGCGAGTGCTGCGGTCCAGAAGGCTGGAAGCTGCGGAACGGGACGCCTAAAGTGGGCCATGGAAAAAACATGGGAAAATCCATGGAGTGCTCCGAACCAATGTCAAAGCCACTTGTCAAATCTTGTCAACACTTGTACAGATGATACAAATGTATGGAAAATGGTATGAAAACGTATGAAACGGTAGTACATGTGTTTTGGGGTAGCAACCTTCCTTCTGCAGCCCAAGAGCCCGAGAAGCAAAAGCGAAAACACAACTCGTAGATTTCAAGCACTTCTCTTCTGGGTGTGGGCCAAAATAGCGTTCGTGACTGCTTAGCGAAGGATAGCTTTATGACACTCTTTATGGCAATATATTTATTGTATTTATGACGGGTTCAAAAATAAAAGGGGCTGTGTTTGCTCAACTGGTTTGACCAGTGAAACCCTTGTTCGGAGGCGGCTTCAAGGGTGGAGATCTGACATGCAAATAGTTAGGAGTGGAGATCTGACATGCTCTGACGATTGGACGAACCCATCAAAACTTACACATGCTTCTCGGTTCATCTGAACATGTCTTAGAATATCATATCATATTCATCTTCTAGTCTTACGTGCTGTTGACATGTCTTGCACATCTGTTGACTCCTATAGCACCTGAAAAAATCCTTCTGCTCCATGGATGCCCTTCTCTTCCTCGATTCCGAAGGCCCAAGGCGCTGGAGGTTCCAGGCGCGGCTCACAGGGGCGGAGCGTGCCATACCACTCATGGAGCCGCGGGGCCTTCCAGGGCTGCAGCAGGATAAGCCACCTGAGCGTCCGACCGCGGGGGGGTCGAAACCACCTACAGCCGAGGGTCCCGCTGGGAGGGTGCTTAGGGAGGTACGCTGTACAGGCATCAAAGTTGGGTCTGGAAAACATGCTTGAGTCTGCTTTTTGTTGTACCTGTTTAGATTTGCTGCTGTAGACCCACTTCAAACATGGCAAATGCAAACATTGGTGTACTTTCCATGAATGTACAGCATATTTCAGACTTTGCTCCAATCAGTGGCGCAGAAGCAATTACCTTGTTCTCGGCCTCTTGCCAGGTTACAGGTCGTTTTGCACGAATCTTCAATGCAGTAACTCGAGTGTGAAGCGTCACTGCGTTCCTGCACCATTCAACAGTTTCAACCATCGCCTCACAGTGTGCATGTGTGTGTGTGTGTCCCCATCACGAGGACTCCCAAATCAACATCCCAAAACGGTGCATGTTTTAAAAAACATGCAGAAAACAGCGAACCATGTTTCTGGGAAGTGGGTCATGGAAAATGATTCATTGTATATATATATATAAAATTAATGTAGTCCCAACATGCCCCAACAATTAGTCCCAACATGCCCCAACAATTGCTGTGGCCTTTGGTAAAGGGTCCATCTGTACTGTTTGGACATCGCTCAAAGCTTGCCACCACATGCCACGGTTTTTTGCCAAGGCACAGGCGAGTAAGCGAGCTAATGGCCTCCAGCCCCACTTCCTGGCCACGGTTGGAGTGATCCCCCCCACATCCAGGAGTGGAAAAGGTGTGACAGAGAGCCTTGCATCAGGCGCAAGTATATGGGACCCACAGATGGAGAAAAAAACGACCCTGCAAAAGGTACAACACACACACACACAGAACTCAAAAATAATTCCATCATATTCCATACTCCTTCTTGTAATATGATGTTCCAGCCACTTTCTACATGATTCTGGCCCCCCTGGTTTGGATGTGTGGGGATCTGTTTGGGACCCATGGATGGGTGCTTTGACCGCTTTCAGATCCACCAGGGTCTCCTTCTGCGACTGGAGCTTCCGGAGTAGTTCGCAAAGCATCTGCACCTCAGGTGGCCCGGAGTTGCACCTGAAAATTGAAGGTACTATAGTATTTGGGACTTAGTTAGCTAGGCTAACTACAGCCACCCCCTCACAAACATGTTGTCAAGGCGCCCACAGCCCCAAACTGGTGCAAACTTGCACGTACCAAAACCATCCAAAACCCATATTTGCCAGAAACGACTCTCAAGTGCCTCACAGCTACGTTGGTCTAACAAGAATTCATCAAGCCAGGCTTCCCAAATCCTCTATATAATCATCGTCTTCATTGAAGACATATGCTTCTTCTATCTTCTTCTAAGTTAGCCTCCAGAAACAGTAGAAACACATCCCCATCAGTGCCCATCAGCACCCCTCTTCGGCTGTTCTTCTTTAGTTCTCGGCACCACGGCCGGACCCAGAAGCGCGAGCTCGCGCGTGATGCGCGCGCCGCCCGCGCGGCCCCACATCAAGCGTTCCGCCGTCTCCTCACAGCCTGCACGGGAGCAAGTGGCCCCAACCGCTTGGGCAGGCAGTGGGGAAGCGGAAGGTGGAGCGGAGGTGGATCAAGCAGCTGTGAAACGAAGCCAAAACATGCACGGGCAGAAGGTACATCAAGGTACCAAAGGGGGTGGTGTGCTTCGGTCGATGGAATGGACACCCCTACGGCATGCAACAATTTCCCAAAACCATCCAAAACCAAAAACTATTCCGGAAAGCGGAGGCCCAACTAACGAACGCTTCTGGGAACCAAGCTGCAAGTTCTTGGTCTCCGGTGGTTTGAAGACTCATCACGATGCGTGAGATCCATCATACATCCATCAAACACCCATTTTTGTGGGGGAGCCCACTCCGCCCACTCCGCCCCAGCCCGAGCCCCCGTCGTTTACAGTGGCTTTCCACCTTGTCGGAGGCACGGGTTCGCCAGCACATGGAGCAGCACCAGGCGCACGGCATGGAGAGCCGCGGGCTGGAGCCGCGCATCTCCGAAGCACTGTAAGACCTCGGTCGGGGAGCAGGGGGAGAAGGGGAGGCGGAGCCTCATGGGCTCGACGAATGTCCATGTTCTTGCTTGACCAATTTCCGGAGGCTCTCTGGAAATGAAAGAAATACCCTGAGTCTACGTGAACATGCGAATCAACTGATTTACTATAGGATAGCATGCTACTTGCAGCATGGATAGGCTGGATTTGGAGCGCTGAGACGACCACTCTTCTAGCCTACTAGCCTCATAACCAGGATCCAGAATATGCAGGGTGTTGAAAGCCTCCCTCCCATCAATTCGTTTAAATCTGGGCCTGGGCTGTTCTTGTCTGCCTCTTCCGATCCGAACGGTCCGATTCGAAGGGAACCTCCCAACTTCACGTCGCCCAGTCTCCGCCCGCCCGACGATTGGAGCCAGGTCGCCGAAGAGGCTGAGGAATGGGAGGGGCTTTGCTCGATGAGGAACTCATGGAAGAGCCGCGTCAAGAGCCTGGGTGACCCGCCCTTTTGGGGTCGAAACAAGGATAGGACCAACGTCAGACTTGACCAACGTCAGAGGTCTGTTTGCACCTCCTGGTCCATAGACACAGTTGTACTGCGGCCAAGTAGGAGTGCGCTTCCGTACTGTGTGTTTGATGTTGTTTTTTTTCCCGGGGAGTCCATAGTGCAGAACTATATGCATCCTGCAGGAAGACGCAGGTGTAAAAACTCCTGTGAGAATCTCCCGCAGGTAAGGTACCCCCCTCAGAAGAAGAAAACAAACAGGTGATAACAGGCGTACAACCTGCCAGCATATCCATCCAGGGTTCACCCTCGACTGGATCAGCCGTAAGATCAAACAACTGGGTTTGAGAGCACCCAAGGATGGTCAAGGAAATGATGCAGTGGCTATCAGCGGCTGGGAAAGAACAACCGCAAGGCAACATCGTCAGAAATCCATTCAAAGCAATATTAGCGTCCAATGGCCCAATGAGAAAGGTTCATTCGTCCTTGTCACGTTGGCAAAACAATGCAAAACACATCGCCACTCGCATGGAGCGGCCATTTCCAAAAAGCAGTACCCATGGAGTGCCACTGATGGACCTCGCTGTGTTCGTTCGTTTTTCGGAGCGTTCGCCGTCCAGGCACAGGGCACTTCGCGACTCCTGGGCTCGTGCCACTTCCTGGGTGCGCTTGGTCATGGTTGGGTCGTCTTACGCTTACGCTGGCGCAGGTTGGAATGGCAGGTGGTTGTTTTGGATTTTTTTCACGAGCCCTCCCAACAAATCAAAACATTGCCAGAAAGGAATGGAAAAATGATGAAAAATGGGCCCAGACTGATTCAGGGCTTATTTTACGCCGGCATATCGAAAGCCACTGACTTCCGCCACTGCGTTCGTTGAACTGGCCGAAGAACTTTGGCGGCTGCACAAGGTCACCGACGGTTTCACTGCTGATTCTCCCGGTACCCTCCAAGTCGTTTGACATGGAAGTGAAGGGCATGGTCCCCGGGAAGACGATCAAATCCTCTACCAAGGTGAACATGGGTGAACTCCACTTCGAATGCGAGATCGGATGGTAACCAGTTCGCTTCCACACCAATGAAGCTCCTTTGCTCCTTGTCTTGCCCACCAGCGGAGTTGTGTGTGTTCTTTCCTGTTGCTTCTGCCATGGGCCCTCGGTCAATCATGGGCCCTCGGTCAAATGTCAAACATCATCGATATTCATCGATGATTCTAGTAACTCTAGTACAGTACACGCATCATAATGTAGACATATGTAGACTCTTGAGTAATAAACCACGCATATGAAGAGATTCTACAATCCTACAATCCAAATCAGAGGGGTTTCTTAATCAAGGGGCTACATTGTGTTTCATGTCAAGTCATTGAACACCTCCCTCCAACGCAATGATCCCAAGAGTCATACTGCCGATGTGGCAGGTATGCATGCAAATGCGCCAGCAGCAACCTCTCATAGGTCGAACTCACCGTGGCTTGCCTGGGCATTGATCTTTCCGTTGCTCAGCAGTCACAGTTGCGAGACTCGCCGAAAGGTTCCATCCACTGCCGGGTCCTTGTGGCTTTAAGCCCTAAACCCCGACAGCAAAACCATGGGAACGTGCAACCACTAGACTCATTGCTGCAAACATTGATAGAAGGGATCTCTTCTGAGCGGCTCAGCATGGAAAACACCACCAAAGCCTGAGATCGTGTGCATTGTTTGCACATAGTGCGGACAGAAGTGGTGTGTTTTCCACCACTGCTCCCTTACCCTGGCAACTGTCCCATCTGATTCTCCTGCTCCTTGCCAAGCCACGGCCTAGACCGGCTCCCGCTCGCACTCCCCGACCACCCGGCTGCAGCGCTCCCACTGGGTGCAGTGCTTCCACCGGACGTCCCGGGCGCGGCGCTCGAGGTGACGGCGCCAGGGACGCTGCCAACCGGTGTCGTGCTGGTGAGGGGTGCCTTGCTGGGTGCCGGGGGCTCTGCCACCAAGTAGTAAACCAGCGTCATGAGCACGAACTCCTGGTCAAAGTTGGGGTAAATCAATGGATGTGAATGACTGTAAATGAGTGTGCTCAAAATGGATTCCACGTTTGTGCATTCTTCGGCGTAAAGATCGTCAAGCCACAGCAGCAGAAAGGACCATAAAGGACTGATGGAAACATCCTGACGAGCAACATCTAGTATCTACAGTAAGATACGGAAGGTAAAAACAGAAATAACCTCAAGTTCTAAAGGTTTCTCGGCCAATCTCCATGTCTCATGGTCGTGGGACTGCAACAAGGACAAAACAGTGACTCGACCCATATAGACCGCCAAATAGAAAAGCGGGTCCACACTAAGTGGAAAACATTTGGAACATGACATGTCATATGTTTCTATATCTAAAAATTTGGGGCCAACTATCAAGACTCCAAACAAATGCCGTCACCCGTGATGGCCACGCCTGCGCGTTGAGCACCAAGCCCTCCAGATCGCCGCCGGAGGTTCGCGCCAAGCGATTCACGCCCAGCAAGGCCAACAGCGACTGGTTCAGGTCCTGGCGAAACCGAACCGCGTGGCGAGCTTCAGTGGTCGACCCAGGAGTTGTGGAAGATTTGAGGATGGACTCGGCAGGAATCATCCTTTTTAGTGGCTGAACAAGATCGCTCCAATAAAGTTGCAACTTGCAAATCAACCAGTAGTGGTAGGAGCTTACATCTGCTCATGGTCCGAGACGCTTGGGGGTAGCAGCTTGAGAGGGAACGAGGTGACAGGGAGAGCTGCAGGGTCTGAGCTTTTAGGAACTTGGACCGGCCTGTGAAGTTCGACCATATAAGAAACAAGAACCGGATGTTCCAAACATATAAGAATTCCGGCTCGCTTGTAATAAGTTAAGTTTCTGGACCTGGATATAAGTGAACTAGGCTAGTTGTTGAAAATGTTCATTGGCCAGCCTTCACCCGGGCACTCAAATGAAAGTCCAAAATCTCACTCCCTCGAGTAAGGCCTCATGTATGTACAATATATAGTAGTTATCTAAGTAATATCAAATAATTACATGACATACAGTAATTATCTATACACCAACCACGCTCTGCCTTGAATGTGCACGAGCAAATAACTCCGGCTCATTAGGCATAGGGCATAGGACAGGGTCCCGTTCACTGGGGACAAATGCCCCCCGCGTGAAAGGGTAAAATGGGTCACGGGATACCCCCTGGGGCACGCCGAGGGGGTCGTCGTGACGCATTACATGGCTGTAGCCGGACTCTACAAGTGGCCCCTCAGAGACAGCGTCGAAGTAACGTAAAGCTTTGGAGCGTGTGAAAACAATCTAAGGTCCCACTGCCGTGCCCGCTGTGTCGATGACATCGAATGATCTCCGAGGGTCCTCGAAGTGTCTCAAGTCCTGTGGATTTTGGGCGCTGAAGAAGCTGCGGTTGGAAGCCATTAAGACCTGGCGCATGTGGCAGTATGGCCAGTTCAAGAAGTGTGCCTTTCAAAGGGGACAGTGGTATTTCCATGCATGTTCCACTACCAAAGGATGGAGATTCCCGGGATGGTGGGTTCATGGTGCCGAACTGGGTGGTGCTGGTGTGCACATCTGCAGGGTTCTGCAGGTCACCTTGTGCTGCGACGGTGGGTGAAGGCCCCGACGGTGGGCGTCCTCGTCCTCCAGACGCGCTCCGTCACCACGATCCGTTGACCAAGTGTACAATTCTAAAGCCAAGACTAGGTTCACTGCACGTACCCAAGCCATGAGTCATTTCGGCTGACCGAAGTTGACGGAACTCCTTGGGGTGAAAAAACACATCTCCTCACCTCACCTGTGATCCTTGAGATGCATTCCATCCAAGCACTTCAAAACCCTGAAATGCTGAACTGGTTCCTTGGAAACTCCTGCCCAGATGTCCAAATAAGTGAACGAGGTGCTGTCTGTAGCGTTCGTGGAGGCAACTTCCTCAAGGGGAAGACGAAGCCGGGCGTCTCCTGCAGGTGATTTCAGGCCACTTGGAAAAAGCTATCCACCACAGCCAAGTCCCAGATCCACTCCCCTCAAAATGGTCACATGGTCCGTCACATAATGTCCACACCATTGAAGCACCACATGTCCATGGGATCTTCATGGATCTTCTATCGCCGAGTCTCCATCGCGGCGAAGAGGGGGCTCAAGGGCCCCTGTGGATGAAAGGTTCTGAGAATCGCCTCCTGCGACAGACATGGAGTGAAGCCGAGAGCCGCGTCGCCGCCAAACGGACGTTGCGACCCACCCACGGGACCTCTCCGCGCCCCTTTGGGGGGCGTTTGTGGAGACTCTCTATAGGGCTCCTCAACCGTTACCACCCTGGAAGTATAACATGGATCCGGGGAGAGTGCCACCCTAGCAAAACTGCCGAGAGGAAGATCAGCGTGTCCTTTCTTATTTTTGGATTTGCATTCAATCTTCGGGCTCGACAGCGTGACACTGAACATCTGAAGTCCGGACTCGAAGCTGTCCAACCATTGTCTAACGAACAGGACACCATCATCCTCAAGGTCCAATCCTTTGCCCTCAGCAGTTTCTGAGTTTCAACTTACCAGGCATCGCTGACCTGGCTAAGACATGTCAGATGCCAAATGTCCGGTATGGGTCAAACAAGTATATACATGGTGATCCTCCTTGTGCACTTGTGTTGGTCTCATGCTTGCAGTGACACGTGTCATGCATCCAATGTCATCCGGCCTCTAAGCCCGGATTGGATAAAGAGAACCATCCATGCAGCCGCTGCATTAACCTGACCCATCGGCGGTGCAAAGCTTAAAGCCAACTTATATATATATATGTGTGTGTGTGAGCCCTCAAGTTGATAAAAAGGTCTTCCAAAACAAGTTGATATATTACAATAATATGAACTTGTATGCACAAAGATTTAGACACCCAGAATGCACCAATCCTTAATGCACTTCATTGCACTTCTGAACTGGCATTGCAAAAGGGTGATAGCGCCACCTGTAGCTCCCTGTTCATGCAGCGTACCCGGCTATTTTCCTTCACGCCATATTTGGGGCGAATTCCCAACCAATTAGAATAACAGTTCTCCTGACAGACGTGCTACCTGTCCTTTTGCTGGAAGATGCTGAATCGATCTCCTAGCCACACCACCCACCCACCTCCCACACATCGACAGAAAAAAGCTCTCATGAATCCTCCAAGCAAACCGAAACATCCAAAGCCAAATACCATGCCGACATGCTGAACACCCTTATTTCATAACCCCCCCCCCACATGAAGACGTGTGTCAATTCAAGGATGCGTTTATTCATCAAGAGTTTACGGGGAAAAAACCATCTGCGGTCTCCACCAAACCCTGAAGGTCGGCGCACCAGGGCAGTCGCTCATACAGCTGTCGTTGCTCCACAGGGCCCACATGCCGCGTTTGCAGCGCCTCGTGGCCTTGGACGAAACGATCGGCACGTAACGATCGACTCGTGTGATCTGCCCTCAAAAGTCTGAAGAAATGCGTAAATCATGTCGAAAGATGACAATTGATGGTACATTGTTTGCAACCTCGCACAAGTTTGCTCTTTCTCTGACCAGTCAACAAGTCAGTCACACTGTTCATCCATCTGTTCACCCGGTGGACGGGGCAGGCCATGGCCCCGAAAGGATGTCCTCTCCAAGCAGCGGTGGATGACCAGGTCGTCATGACGCCAAATCATGCGGGCCACGAAGACCAATGAGAAAGCAGGTCTCTATCCCTCGTGTAAAGGCATGTATAGTTTCAGGTGGAGGAGCTACTCTCTCAAAAATGACCGGAGATTTGGGGGGTCGACCCCTGCTCATGTATAGAGGACAGTGGCAACAGCCTTTTGGTGCTGACTCCCTACTCCAAGCTCTGTCGGGATGCAGAACCTCCGGCAGCTCTCAGCCTCGCCCGGCAGCTGTAGCGCTGCCAGCAGCGCCATGGCGTTTCTGGCGCGAGACAGGCGGCACAGGCGGCACAAGCCACGGGACCTGCCGGAAAGCTTGGCAGGTCAAGGAGAAGCATGTGGGTCGACTGCTACCAAAAGAAGCCCCGTCATCTGCTTCTCTCCGCTAATCAGTGCTTTTCAGGATCTGAAGATGAACACACTTGCTCTAGTTTTCCTGATAAAGTGTGAGAAGTAGAGGCTTTCAGCCATGGATAATCACAAAAAAAAAAAAAACAACACCTTCAAATAGGGACAAGATGAAACTAAGCTCTTGATGAATTTGCTCTAATGCAGTTCTAAGCCGATGGTGGAAGCTTTACCCCGCTTCTCCTTCCACAAAATGACCGAAGAGGGTGCCTGCCTTAAAAGAGTGCAGCATGTTTTTTGAGATTGGGTGTGTTTGGGAGTCCTATGCGATGACGTGGGAGGATTACTGGATTACCGATCCGGAGGGAGCACAGTGGGACGTTTGGTAGGAGCCGGAACAGCTCCACCAAGTTAGCAAATGAAGTGGGCCTCACATTTCTCCTGAGCCGTGGACCTCCTCCACGAGGATTCAGTCAGCGTCCAGCTACAGCTCCCTCCCTCGACCTGCCTCACCCACCAAGAGTGCGGCAGGGGCCGTCAACATGCGCTGGAAGCCAGCACCACAGGTGGCAAGCAAAGACTTCAGTCAGACGCTTACAGTAAGTGAATTGAAGAAGCTGTGGGGTTGGCAGTCCTACAAATCATGTGCCAGGCATCAAAAAATGATCTTGTTGGAGTCAGTTGTTGTGGTAACAGCGCTTGGACAATGACTAAAACCAAACAAAGGCACCACAGTGTGCGTATGTCTGTGCGTTTTGGCCATCCTTTCAGGCCGAGAAAGGGATTGACCTTCTTGAAATGGGTGTGCATTTCAATATAATAGGGAAGCCCCCAACAATGGGTTTTGGTCTATTTCCCTTCTTCCTGAGGGGTCCGCCTGGGAGGTCTCCTAGTTTGATACACCGGCCAAATGATGCTTTATATAGCAATAGCGCTTACGGGCTTCACATGTTTGACTCCTTCAGTTCTGTGTGCCTCAACGTGCTTGTTGCATTGTCGCCTGGTCGAACATGCTTTCCCGTCTTGTCTGTTCGTCTGTTCGATCCGATGCTAAAGCCTGAGGGTGCAGTCGACAGCATCAATCCCACAAGACCGGTAGACCACCATAAAAAGTGTGCTGGAACATGAGCAAACTCTCCGGTCCCGGCTTTGCCTAATGGTTGGCGCTGAAAAAACACCGGTCGTTTCAAAATTGGCTCCTGCACGTGCCAGTGGTTCAAGGTTCTTTCACTCAGCTTGAGCATGAAGCTCCAGCAGCCTTGGAAGGTTTGAATTGTGTGAGCCAAAGGCGGCGTTTTTGTGCCCGAAAAGTTATTCACTCACTTCTGGTGTCAAAACCAAGTGGTTCCCTTCGGCCCTTCGGCCACTTGAATCCCCCCACAGGGGGCACTACGACTTTCATTGGCCCCATCTAACTCAAAACGATAAACTTGAATCCCAATCTGCCTGAGTCTGATGACTCGTGTCCGCAAACAACGTGCAGTTTCAGTGGGCTCTGACGAATGACCGACGTGCTCCGCGTGGAACTGAAACACCGACTTTTTACGATGGAGGCTAAAGTTGGGCGATGGATTTTGTCACAGTTCCTATGGACTGGACATCAAAGAACGTTTATGATCGATGGATGGAATTCTCCCTTCATGCTCAAACATTGTCAAACCGTTTTGACGCGCTGGGATATGAATCCCAACCATCGATGTACCAAGATGATCCCCAGCTTAGAGGGATCGTCAGCTGGCGATGGTCGAGTTTTGAACCTTCGAAAGGCCCAGTTCATTGAGTCAACCGCGTGACACAAATTGCTAAATTGATCTAAGTAATTAGGACAGTGAGTGCCTTCTTTAAGTATCTTAAATTGAAATGTGTCTACCTCACTGGGGGCCGCGAAACGGGCCTGAAGTACTCTTCAATCTATTCATCGCCATCACAGGTGGTGTTGGTGCAAGCAACTGGTGCCGAAATTTGCCATGAGCAAACGGAGAGAATGCACGGTACGGACATGCACAAACCACATATCCAAGATAATCCGATCCATTCGGGTATGCCATGATCAACCACCAAAGGGTGGAGTCAAAAGTCTGCAACCTTGACCTCTGCTAAAAGGATATGTCTCCATGGATGGAACAAAAATACTAGGAGTTTTTGTCCACCGGGCCGGTGTCAAAACTCGACCAGCTTGAAATCACTCTGCCAATGGCCAGGGACCTCTGGGCGTTCAAAAAGCTCCCTGAAAATAAGGCTCTCCATACTCCTTCCGAGCCGGTCCCCTAGCCATAAAGCATCAAACACTGAAATCACACACCCTCCGGGTCAGATCCCGCACATCTCTCGGGGGCGCCCGGACGGAGCGTGGCACGAAAACTGAGGTTGGTCAGGTTCTTCCACGTGTGCAGTACGATCGTGGTTGAATGAAGCATCCCAAACCCAAATACATTCCATAGGACCGGAATGTATGCCTGCATTGACCCCTAAATGCATGCCAAAATGTAGGCAATATATTCATATACAGTACATTCCATACATGGAGTGTCCAAATAGACGCCCGCCCTGCTAGATGTTGGATCCCACAAAACTGGCTGGCGGGTCATGGGCATGGATGTGGCACTGGCCACCTGGCACCACCAAAACACCAGCATCTGGGATCCGCGCGCTTTCTGGGCTTTGAATCAGGAAGGGCCAAAACGTGACACCCAAATGTCACCTTTGTGCGGCATGTTGATCGTTTCCGGAGCCATCGGTCACCTCTCAACACTCTCTGATTCACCCAACCAACCCCTCACAGTGCAAAGGCTCGGTTCAACTCACGCATCGAGCGGGGTTCGCAGCGGAGGTGGTCCAAAATATCCCAGCGTTCGAAGGGGACAGGCCGAACCAAAACGACGGATCAACCACATGTTCCGGCATAAACGCCTACAGAACCTCCCAGTCTACCAAAAGCACTCAGCGAGATTGGTAGGTTGGGGTAGGATGTTGGACCAAGCAAGCTGCTCGATGTTTGTCCCCAACACGAACCGAGAACCTGAAGTATCAATCCTTGGTGTTGATGATTTCCACCGCCAAAGCCAGCGGTACGTGACAGGATTCCCACTGGGCTGACAGAAAAAGCATGAAGCAGCCTCCCTTCGTGGCTCAAGTGCAAGTTGGTCCCGAGGATACTTCCCTCACGTTGCATGCATCTGCATGCCATGGTTTCTTGCATGTTTGGGGTGCCCCCTTTGATTCATGTTGGTGATCAATACGCTCGTTGTGGTAGAAATGGGCAGAAGGACTTTGGCGAGTCACTAGCCCCTGGACGAGGAAAGCAATGACTGAATGTGTAACCTGCATGAACAATCAGCAGCGGCCTGCTCCAGCCGAATTGCGCGTCGCGCAAGTTCCAGCCCTTCTTCGCAGCACTGGGATTCTTCCAGAGGCTCTGCCAGCTTGTGGGCTGAGCTCAGGAAAACTCAGAATCAATTCAATATGGCAGGTTTTTGAGCATTGTTCCATACATATTAGTGGATGATGGTCGAAAGGTTGCAGGGACTCAAAAGAACAGCAAGCGAGATAGACGCTGAAAAGGTGCCAGTCAGGGCACCTACATGTGGAACTCGAAGAGGATACTTTGGGAGACCATCTGGTGAGTGGTTCAGGGCTTCGGGATCCCAAATGCTTCGCCGATTCCAACACGTCAGCCTCAGGCTGTACTGAAGATGCTTGGAAGATCCAAACATCAACGGTCGACATCAAACGGAATCTCCAAGTCCACTGGTGTTTCAGTGGATGTGCCAACCACTACAGGACAAGAGTCTTGACCCCGTCTGCTCCAAATGTTGGGTTTGAAGATTCCTGTGGCCGAACGACTGCCCAAGCGAATGCCCTGTTTCTCGAAGCTCGGAAGACACAACCAAAACATCTTGGGATCATCTTTATTGCAGAGTTGGGTCCGCTTTGGACTCTGAGGATTTCTTTGGACTGTTCGATTTCCAAGATGTTCCAAGAGTTGTTGAGAAAGAGGCCAACCAAAAGGAAGGAGTCTAAAAGACATCGTTGGATACTTCGTTCTTTGGAGATCGTCAATCTGAGGAGAGGGCTGAACTCTGAAAGACTTTCGGTGCTGGGGCACGGTGCCTGTCAAACGCAGGACAAGGCAGCCCGAGCACGATTCTGAGCTCTTCGACGACCGACCCCCAACTGCAGCTTCATGAAAGCTTCCGTGGCCGTGAGAGGAGAAAAATACACCTGGCTGCCATGCAACTGCTAGTCACGAACAAATTCTCTTAGAACTGACCACCACCATGACTAAACCCGCTTCTTTCACAATACTGTGGGTTCTCCTCTGCCCAAGTTGCTGGGCCGAGCCCGCTGCCCACAGGGAGTTTGTCACTGGACGGGAAGCCGGTCAGGAGCATTCAGACGCATCACTCGCAGCGTTGCGTCCAACTAAGGCTTGAGCGGAGCAGGGGAGCAATAAACCCTCCGCAGCCACAGACTGAAATTGGCACCGTTTCTTTGGAGCTGCCACTTGCAGAAACTGGGGAGTCGGCTAGAATCTAGAAAATGGAATCTTGCGGTGAAATCCGAAAAGAAGACCCACCTCCTTGCAGATCTGTTGGCACGTTCCTTGGGGAACTTGCACTTTCATGCACTTTAGATAGCTGAGAGGATTGGCAAACTATATTTCAAACAAACTCATCGAAGTGTAGGAGGTTGCTTTGAAGGTTTAGCCCAGCATCTGCATAGGCTGCCAAGCTCACCCGGTAGCTAGCTATAGAGGAACGAGCACGATGGTGAAGTTATTGATCCCCTGCCAATGGATCTTTGCTGAGTTCCCACAATATATTGAAGAGCTCTTCCATTGTCCATGTCCGTCCTAAACGAATCATAGCCTACAGGTATAAGTATTCAACCAGCGCGGTTAAAACAGGTTAAACCGAGTCGTAAAATGCACGTACAACTGGCGATCTGCACCTTTTTCGGATCCTTCACCCAGTCTATAGCTCGGCGAAGGGCCCCTGCATTGCGCCCACGATCGCATTTGGACCGTCTTCATTCTGATGTACCCGGTGATGCCGCATCTTGCCCTTCTGGGTTTCGTGCTTTCGCACGCATCGCCTGCTGCTTGGCCTTCTTCAAGCGTTTCCTAGGCGGAGATGACAGGTGGCCGAAGCTTTCGAGCATGTCAGTCACCCCTCCAGAGGTCCACATGGAAGCCCCAAACCACTGGGTTGTGGAGAACAATGGTCGAAACCACAGGTCAATTCTCAGGTTCCATGTTAATGTCGACTCTTTTTTAATAGACCCTCCATATGAATAGCATGTACAATTCAGCTGTCTGGCCCAAAGCCTTCAGCTGAGGGTTCGGGTGCCCCGGGGAGTGGCTGCCACCCTCACGGGTGGTGTCACTCGTCCATAAAGGCACCTTCACCTAGGTGTCGACCCCGACGTGTGCTTGTGTTCTAGTGATTCCACTTGGAATCGTGACCTCGCCATGGACCCCGCGATATTGACAGATCCTTTTGATCTCCGCATGAAGAGTATCCTGGACACCATTAGCACTTCGTCTTCGCTTCTCCGGATTCGAGACCATGTGTGCTTTGCTGGAACTC